GAAGGCGGGAGGGCAAAAAAGAGCTTAACATTCATGTACTTTGTTCACTCGTAAATAAAAATATTTGCTTGCATATTATGATCACTTTTGCAGGCTTAACTCTAAAAACGTGTTTGATTGACTTTATTATCTGTGAAAAATATTATTTTTCACTCAAAATTCTATTTTTGAGGTGTTTAATTGACAATTATTTCATGAAAAATATTTTCTAACTTTTAATTATTTGACAATATTTTCCTTAAAAAATAAGGAAATATTTTCTTTAAGGAGGGGTGATTTTTATTTTCCCAATAATTCGATCCCTCTCTCTCATTTATTCCTTCTCTTATCTACCTACCATATTTGCAATCAAACGCACCATAATTTCTTTTCATGAACATTAAATCATTATCATCTTATTTTTAAACATATCAATCTCTATTCATAAGATCTTGTAAGAAAATCATTGAGTTGGATCCAAAGACAAATTTTACTCTCAATCTTGAAACAAGGAAAAATAAAAGGGGTACAACAAGAAAAGGAAACATGCCCCTGTTTGATCAAGATTAAAATTAGATTTTTAGTAAATTTTGATAGAAGTTGAAGAAATATGTGATTGAAAATTTATAGTCTCATAAAATGTGTTTTTAAAATTAATTGTCGATTTTACCTTAAATTAAAATTTATATTATACTTTTCACCAAACGAGGTAGAGTCATCCCTTGCCCCTACCCACATACCCAAGATTTCACCCACATACCCAAGATTTCACCCCCGATAAAGGGAGGACATAGATCGATCGAATGATTTTTGATCTATTTTCAAACAAACTCATTTAATTTGAAAAATTAGAAGTCAAAACAAATCGTTTCACCTTTCGAACCTAACAAAACTATTTTATACGATTGACCTTGATTTCAAACCATGATTTGCCTAATTACGTAAAGGAATTTGCTACACGTACACTAGAATTATAGCCCTCTCACATGAGAGAAGGCACAAATATTTTAATCATTGTGGGTTTCCTTCATATGAGGAGACCGTACACGTATACTCTAGTATACAAGTATCTTTACCTTACGTAAAAGTAACAAATTTCAAACACATTTAAGCGTAAATATTACAAGCATTAAAACCCATAATTTGCATTTGGGAATAAAGAAAGCTAGCATATATATACACGATTATATAATTTATTGGAAAGACGCATATGAAACCTATTATTATAGAGTTAATTTCACCCATGGTCATTTAATTTTTTATTTAGTGTCCCATGGTCATCGAACATTTCACTTAAAATCATGATAGCCACCAAACTTTAATTTGTTACGTCAAGGCCATCGAACTTTCCTCTTAGTGTCGCTATGGCCATCGAATTTTAATTTACTACACCATAACCATCGAATTTTATAGAATAAATAGCACCGGTGGTCCCCAACCTTTGAACATTCTGACGATGGAATCCTAACCCATTTGAGTATCCACAAGTCTGCACTTGATTTGAGACTGAATATTAGAAATGAAAGGTTCGAGACCATCGTCAAAAGGTTCAAAGGTTGGAGGCTTAGTGCTATTTCCCTGAACTTTATAAGAATCAAATTAAAATTCGATAATTATCATGACACTGAATACAAGTATGATTTAATTCAATTGAAATTTTCACCGATTCACGTAAATTCAAATCAATCATTTCAAAATGATGACGTTAATTCAGTTTTAATGTTTACAGGTTTTTTTTTTTTTTTTTTTTTTTAAAGCTCTATTACTAACTATAGGTAAATAGTTGCAAATTTAGTGATTCTATTTTCCTTTATTTATTTGTCTCATAAACGAGTAAAAAATCCTCGACTCAACTGTCCATTTCCGTATTCGAACAAACAAAACTCAAATCTGAGCGTTAAATCTGGGAGTAAACTATCAAATGGCACTGCTTCCGTCGAGGGGAGTGGTGATTTCAGTCCCAGTTCTCGTACTATCTGTTGCTGCCGCCACAATTTTCCTATTCTTCCTTCTCTCTTCCCTATCTTTCTCCCCTCCGCCTTGCACTTGCCCTATTCCCGCCTCCTCCTCCAGCATCGGTAGCTCTGGCGCGGACAATAATAATGTAAGATTTGGAGATCGGATCTCGGCTTCAGCAGAAGATATAGAATGGGTGAAGAGTCAGATCGAAGCCAATGGGTTGCATATGCAACAGAATGTGTTGCGTAAAGGCATTAATCCTCGCACTCGACAACAGCAGCTGCAAGATCTCCTGCAGTAAGACAATTCCCCTCCCCCTCCCGTTCGACCCTCTCTCTCTCTCACACACACTCACACACCAAAATACTTTGATGATTACAGGAAACGAAGTTCTAGACTATCAGTATTTTGGAATTAATCAAAGAAAAGAACAATTGAATACGAGTTGCAGAATTGGCGAACTCGAGCCTGTAGGAAGAAGAATATATAAAGAAAATTGAATATGAAGAAGCCAATTTAGGAAAATTTTCTTTAGCATTTCTAGTAATGTTAATTGTTTCTAGTCTCCATTTCATCTTGTTTCTGAAGATTTAGCAATTTGCTGGACCTCCGGGAATTACCGATTCTTTAATTAAATTTTAATAAAATCAGTTGCATTATAATAAGATCTTGCATTTCAGATGCCAAATTTGTTAATGAATTTCTGGTCTTTATCTCTGCTCATTTTCTGTGTAAAAGACACTCTTCCAGCACTTAGTGTCATCCATCTGGCAAATTCGACAATTAAGCATTATGGAAATTAAGCGTCCTGCTTTGATGATATGATATGAACACCGTCCAATTTGTGGGGAATCTTTTAGTATACATAAAGGAAGAAGAAAACTAGATTATGAGTTTATACAATTGGATAACGTTCATTGCATCTCATCAAACTTATATGCCAGGAATATCTACCATCATGTGATGTAGTCATATTTACTTCAAAATTAAATTTGGTAGGGTTTGAGGTGGACGTTCTGCTGGTGATCACATGCCTAGGTATTCATTAAAGAAAATGAAATTAAAAGGAAATCTAATGTCGATAGTTTTTGGTACTAGAGATATTGTGGAGTTCACAATGGTCTCTCTGCTGCCACACCATGACTGACACATTGAAGAGATGAGTGTTTTGGGTGTAGAAGTGCTAACTAGTGCTCTAGATCAATTGCATGGGCTCATACTGCTTCAGATTAGTTGTATGTGCTCTCATTGTATTGGATTATGGTCGAATAAAATAATACTCTTCAAATGAATGAAACAATTTTCAATTGATAACATCATCTGCTCCTACTTACTCCTAAACGGTATTGATATAACTTAAAAAATCATTTTCTGGATATGCTCTTATCTGCTATGTCGTTCAGTTTCTACTATAATGCATTATAATAAAAGTGCGCTTACAGAAAATTACTGCAACTTTAACTGTTTTCCAAATAGCACAGCTAGAGAAACATGGAGAGGACAATTTAGAGGAATATATTGTTCATTTTTTTAATCGTTAATCCTTCTTGTATTTTTCTTACTCTTACCTGTGCTCACCGCTGAACTAAAGCAATTATGAACAAATTTTACCATATTTTCAGGTTCAAAGGCATATCACACTATGAAGGAGAAGAAGCAAACAACCACACTGCTCTGCCTTGTCCAGGTGAACTACTTGTAGAAGAACACCATAGCAATTATGGAGAGCCCTGGGCAGGAGGTCGAGATGTATTTGAGTTTCTTGCTGATTCTGCCCATCTAACACCAAACTCAAAAGTTCTTGAGATTGGATGTGGCACGCTGCGTGTTGGCTTGCATTTCATAAGATACTTGAATCCAGATCGTTTTCATTGTTTAGAGAGAGATGAGCTATCTCTGATGGCTGCACTTAGGTACGAGCTTCCATCACAAGGCTTGTTGTACAAGCGCCCTCTGATTGTAAAAGGTGAAGATATGAATTTCAGTAAGTTAGGAGATGGAGCCATGTACAGTTTGATATATGCAAGTGCTGTGTTTCTTCATATGCCCGACAAGCTTGTTTGGATTGGATTAGAGAAGCTAGTAAGCAGACTGAAACCTTTAGAAGGCCGGATTTTTGTTTCACATAATATAAAGTTTTGTTCACGGTTGGGAGGAGAAGAATGCACGAAAAGGTTAAATCATCTGGGGCTTGAATATCTTAGAAAGCACACGCATGACAGTTTGCTTTTCAACCACTATGAGATCTGGTTTGAGTTCAGGCGATTTAAGGCTTAAAATGTGGAATAGAGAATCATTTGTGGCCTTCTTGGTGTAATTTGTAGCACGCAACTAACTTCCTTGGACACTCGACTAGGAGCTACCTCATTCTGTAATTAGCTTCGTACAGAACCAGAAAGTTGTATGCCATTCATATTTGCAAGCCGGTGGGACTTGCCATTTGTTTTTGAGAGGGTAAAGCCCTTCTCAATGTGGACTAATGAGAAGTGTTATAATGGGCAAGTACCAACTACAACATGCTTTTGTACTTGCATTTCCTTTAGTTTTGCTAGATTCACCTTCTATTTAGAGCTAATCAGCAAGTAGATGTTTTTTAAGATATACTTTCACGATGATCTTCAAGTTTGTTGTTCACCAATGTCTTGCTTTAAGAATTTGGTTTCTGCAATTCTTTGCTGTATAATTGTTTCTCCATGTAGTAATTGATTCAGCTTTTGTCTCAGCTGTCAATGTAATTTAAGGAGATTTTGAAATGTCAGAAGTTGCTCCCAAGACTAAGGTTTGAATAACAGATCCTTAGCTAATGTTAACGTCCCTGTTAATCCCTGTTTGTTGGCCTTTAAACTTAAAAAATTATATTTTAAGCCCCTATTTGACGGTCATTATTTGGTTCATTAAAATGAAATTCTAGTTATTGGAATAGTCGAGCCCCACACAAGAGATGAGAACTTAAAAAAAGCCAGTTGGATGTAACGATTAATGATAAAAAATTTCATCTTTTGGTCAAATAATGTGCCTCAAATTGGGGCTAAATAATATTTTTCAATTTGTTTATTAGGCCCCCGTTCGAGCCACATTATTTTCAAAAAAATACATTCTTCAACAATAATTTGATATCATTTCAACCATATATTCTTCAATAAAACAATATTACAAACAATTTGTTGAATATTGGGTGTGATTTTTTTATTGAAACTCTGTTATAATATTCAATGTTTAACAAACAATTGAACAAGAATTCGATCATTTTCTGTGATTTATTAACGTGCATATGTATAAGAATGAATTGTTAAAGAATAAGTAAAATTTTGTGGTTTATGTTAAGGATATTTATAAATTTTACAAAGAATCTATAAAATCCATTGAAATTTATAAAATTCATGAAAATCTTTTAAAATCTACAAAGTAGAAATGCATTCAAATATTATGAAATCTGTTAAATTCTATCAAATTTCACACAATACATGAGAATTTATAAATATTAAGAAATCTATTAAAGTCTAAAATGGGGACACCCCGTAAAAATTTTCCTTATTTTTAATTATATATTTTTTATTAATTTGACATCAATAATATATTTTTTTCTCATAATGTGGCTCAAACAAACTCAGAAAAGTAGGGAAAAGAAAATAAGTAGAAAGAGTCCTTTACCATGGACAAAAATTCAAAAGATTTACTTTGAAGTGATGTTCCTCTGAAATAAAAAATACAACCCGCCGCGCCGTCGCAGCACACAACTATACAAATTGGAATCTGATTCATTTTCGCCATCATCCGCCGCCTCCCCCGGTGCTCAAAACCAGATAGGTTTTATACTAGTACGGAAGTACCTAATCGATACGTAATATATGTATCTATAGCTATATAATGCTGCTTTCGCGGCAAGTTGTGTTCTTGTTTAGAGGCTCAGCCCTCAGTCACCACATTCCATCAAAACACCGTTGGATATCCTCCACGTCACATCTCAACTACTCATGGATGGACAAGGTCAAAGGCGTATTCACCGGCCAAAAGACTGCTTCCGATACGGCCACCCCTACCGCAGAGTCATTCACCTTGCTCCGTATGTCTTACCCTCTCTCATTTCTTATTCTTGTATGTACGTATAAGATACGCGTATTGGTGTTTGTTTATATATATGTGTATGGATATTCAAATTGAATTTATGTGGGGACTTGACCTTTTTCTTGCTTTCCATTTTCATTTTCTATGGGATGTGTGTGTGGTCGGTTTGTAAATATTAATAGGGTTCGCGGAGGAGTTGAGCAAAGCGAGGAAGATGGGGACTTTGAAGCAATATATAGTGGGGAGGAGTAGTGAGGCTACATTTGCTGATGCCTTCGAGAAGCAAGAGGCTATTATTAGATACCTTGGGGGATTCGATCCTACTGGAGAGGTTGGTTCCCGTGACTTATTCCTTTCTGTTGTTATTCGCATTTAAAAGTTGTATAGCCTTATAGTCAGGTATGCATATGCGTGTGTTCTATGTCATTTATATAGCCCTTGCAGTAAAATTAAATGAAATTGTCCCTATATAATCTAAAAGGTTTTAGTATGAAGCATTTCTGTTAGCTTGTGGATGTTTGCTCAATTCAATTGCAATGAATTTCATAGTGCATAGTCCATTCTGACTTGCATTGCTAACCTCAGCCATTATTCTAGCCTTAACTTTTTTCCTGGCATGCAATTGGGGCATTTGAATTTCCATAACACCAACTCAAATTAGAGTAGTACTCTTCCCATCTCCATTTCCAAGACCCTACTTCCATGCCACTGATTGTGGTGCCTCGGAAACTGGTGTATAGCAGCTGATTTGCAGGATGTTTATACAATGATCCAGCAAATGAAAGTCGTCATTTTATGTACACAATATAGGCAATACATTGAAAGATTACTTATTCACATTTTAGAATTGAAGTTTTCCCTTATAAGACTAGTTATAGCTCCCGTTTGGTAGCAATTTTTCACCAAAAAAAAAATCAAAATTTTGACCTTTATTTCACTATTTCAACCGTCATTTTTAACTTCTTCACTCACAGGTGTGACCCACTTTTCTCTATAACGGTTAAAAAATCAATTCTCATAATCATTACCGAACATGCCCATAGTATCGTATGCTGCAGCAAGTGCACTAAGCATGCTTGCCTTAGGCATGGTGATATGTGATTGCATTATATTTGGTTGATACCTTGCAGCATTGGCTGACAAGAGTAGGTCATAGGCTGAACATCAGTCGGTGCTTGTGTGTATGACATCCTGAACTGAAGTTCAACCAAGGGCTTTAGTTCAAGTTGTAGGTTCTAGTTGCATGATGCAACCATGGTGTGTATTCTCACTAAGACACATGTTGTGCATTGGTGGCTATGGCATGTTCTGTTATTTCTGATATGTTGATTGGGGTTGAGTAAAATGCCTGTGGGAGTGTCTGTAAGGCTCTGTGGCTAGGGAACTGGTGCTTGGCATAATGCAGGCTAGGTAATTTCTGGTTTGGTAAGTGCCAGAATACACTAATGTATTGAGTTTGGGCTGCATTAAACAGTAGTTGCGATGTAAAGCAACTAAACGATTCATGTAAACCTGTGTCTCTTGAGTTGGATTATCGGCTGACTTGTGTGAGTGCAAACCAAGTTGCACAGGGTGGAGAAAACAAATGCAGATTTAGCCCCTGTGGTGGTATATAAAGTAGTTCTCGCAGGTCATGATTACACTGCAGCTGTGGTAAGGCTGGCTAATTACCGGCTTCTTTGTTGCACGATCTCGTAAGCGCAAAGGATTGAGAGATTGTTTTTGCGCCACAGATGGCTAGACATTTGGCACTTTTTATAGCTAATTTGTGGCTAGATGGTGCAATAAAAGATTTACAGAAATTGTCCGTTGATACCTTCCTAGATTGTGCTATGTCCATGTTCCATTGTAGTGGACATTGGTGCCTTGCCTGATAGAGTTGATCTCATGATTGATGTGGTCAAGGAAGATGTTGTTGTCTTGAAGATAGCTGTGATTGGTGATTTGGATGGCCAAATCATCCAAAATCAAATTTTCCTAACCAAGGCATTGGTGGGGTGTGCGGGTATTTGAAGTGTTTAAGACAGCACAGATTTGTGACTTGCAAGTTGGAAGGTTTGGTGGCAAAGGCTGGATAAAGCTTGACTAGAGATTAGTTCATGGGAATTTTTTTAGAGGGAATTGGAGAAATTCTTGCCAGCAAACGCTGCTTGGATGGCTTGTGATTCCTTTTGGAAGCATTGGTACATTGTTTTTATGCTAGAATATGTCTCTGAGTCAACTATTTATGTCGGTCTTACATTCTACTTTAGTGGGGAACAAAATGTTCAACTTTGTTTATGGTTTGCAGAATCGGAAATAGGCTGTGTTGTGGCATGAAGGCTTGCAGAGTTGCTGTGAGCAACTGTAGCTTTCAAGAATCTGGTGGACTTGAATTTGGATAACTCTACATCTGGTTTTGGCAGCAATAAGTCCTAGAACAACAACAGTTGTGACATTTCTCCTAGCCAGAAAAGAAAACAAGACTGAATGGACAAGTTCTGCTTTGAAACAGTATGGGAATGACAAAAAGTTTAAAGGCCGTTCATTTTTGAGGTCAACAACATATATGTAGTGCTCATATGAGACACTTAATGCAATTAGATTCATGAAAGATGGATAATGTAGGTATAGCCAAAGGTGATTTAGGCACTTTGGCTTGGATGCCATTTCTGGCCTTTGGGTTTATGTGAGTTGGTAACTACTCCAATTTACCAGAAGCTAAGTTGGTATTTCCTATTTGTGGCTAGAGGCTTGTAGGAATAAGGTTAAGTCGAATTCCAGGGGGCTTGTTGTAGAACTTGGTGAGGACCAACTCCATCTCGTAGGAACATATTGTTTGGCTGAGTTCATGTTAAAGGTTAAGACTTGATGGGTTAAGTTTTTTAGTGTAGAATGAATGTGTTAATGATAACTCTTAAGTTCGGAAGAGTGGGTCTTAGAAAAGTTTTTGGATTCAATGGTGATTAGGGAGTATGTCATTTGGCAGAAGGATGAAGTGGTCTTCTATCACCATAACTTGAACATTTGCAATGGCAAATGCCTAAGGTTCTCCCTAGGTATTGTGATGTGTGGCTGCATGGTGAGTGAACATTTTGCGGTGATGTGTTGGTACCTATGAAGCACAAGAATCACATGACACTTTGACATAACTTTCTAAGTAGGACACAAACTGTCATCGACTAAAATAATATAAACTGCAGATATATAGATTATTTCTTTATTTATACACCCTTTTGACAAGAAACCAGAAGCACACTAATAGCTTTAGCTTTGCGCAAAACTATGGTCTATTGACAAGATTTTACATTTGACTCGCTTCACTGTACTGATTGAGAGACCTCTACATTGTGCTGGACAAAATGGTAGTCAATAAAGATAATTTGTACGATTGCATTTCATATTTCTTTATATGTTATGCTTACAAACGTGATAGAATAATATGAGGTTCAGATCAAGCAAAGGACAATATGCAATCAAGCCATTATCCACTGCAAGAAGTGTGATTTGTCGCCCATTATGTTACTACCTATTCAAGTAACTAATGAAATTATTAAAAGTGTTATAGTTTGTAATATATTCTGCTATATTGCTACCCATAGAAAGAGGAGAAAAAACTATTGGTAGGGGAAATGAATGATAAAAATTGCTTTATCTTTAGTGAGAGTGTTGTGAATGTTGTTCATATAAAGTGGAATACAGGTTAACTGTATCAAATAGGCTGATGCCGGAGCAAAATACTGATGATATAAACCTACTATTCATACTAAATAAAATATCTCCGCGTAGCTCCTCATGGATGTAGGAACATTGTCGAACCACGTAAATAATTGTATTGATTTCTCTCTTTTATCTCTTTATTATCGCGCAAAAAATTCAACAATTGGTATCAGAGTCAAGTCTAGATGACAAGTTCTTTGATTGCAAAATTTAATATGATGAAGTTCGATGGAACTAGGAATTTCAGATTATGGTAGTGAAGGATGAAGGATTTGTTGGTGCAGGAAGAGATAGTGAATGCGCTATTTGGGAAGGAGTCAGAGGGTACGTCAGATACCGATTGGGAAGAGTTTGAGGAACAAGCAGGGGGTACAATTCGGTTCTGTTTGGCGAACGAGATCATGTATTATGTTGTCGAAATTTGGCTAAAATTGGAGAGTCATTATTTGTCGAAGTCTCTCACGAACAAGCTGCATTTGAAGCTGTGGTTGCAAGGACTCAAGATGCTGGAGGGTACAAATCTGATTCAATACACTAATGTGTTCAATCAAATTATTAGCGATTTGCTGTGACTTGAAATTAAGTTCGATGACGAAGACAAGGCAACGATATTGCTTTGCTCTCTTCCACCTTTTTACGACCACCTGGTGACCAAGCTGACGTGGGGTAAAAAGACTCGAATTGGAGGAAGTCACATCAGCCATGTTGACCTACAACTAGCGGAAATTGCATATTGGCGAAAGTTCACGGGGTGATGGGTTGATCGTGAAAGTCTACAGGATTGTGGGAGAAAGGACGGGTTTTTGTAAATATTATTTCAATCTTTAGTCTGGAAATGTTTTTATAGAAACTGTGTCAATCGGGCGATCTCATATGCATTATCATCAGTGATTACAATATTCTCAATAGAATCTACAAGAATAATACAACTTGCACCAGTTTATAGATGAAATGCTGAATGATCTGTCTGACACCTTTGAAAACTAAATTTGAGAACAACCTCAGATTACTTTTCAAACCATGTCCTTGGTGATTGCTAATTTATATAAAGCTTTTTTCAACTTACAAATATAGTTCTGGTACTTCCTCTGAACAACAAACCTATATGGTTGTTTCATAAAAACCTATTTGTGTAAATCACCACATAGGAAGGCATTTTTAATATCCAACAGGAACAGTGACCAATTAAGGTTAGTAGCAATAGAAATCCAAATGCGAGTAGAAGAGATCTTAGCAATTGGAGGGAATGTATTGTCACAATCAATATCATAGGTTTATGTGTAACCTTTAGCAGCTAGTCGGGCTTTCAATCGATCAACAGTCTCATTATGATTGAACTTCAGAACATAACCCATCTGTTACCAACGAGACGTATACCAGATGTTGAAGGAACAAGGTCCCAAGTTTTATTCTCATGTAAGACTGCTTTTTCCAATTTCATAGTCTTTTGCCACTCAGGATCAGATAAAGCTTCTGTCACTGTCTTAGGTACAAAAACATTAGAAGGCTGGGATATGAAATAAGAAAACGAAGGCGACAACAAATCGAAAGTGAAATAGTGGTTGATAGGATTTTAATTCACAAGTACATTTACCTTTACGGAGAGCAATGGGCAATAACTCAAGATCAGAACAGATGATAGAAGCAGGATCTATAGACAGCAAGGTGACGGATGGGGCCACGAGCATTGGTGGCTTAGATCGTCTGGCATAAATCTGTAAAGGAGGATTTGGTTCTTTATGAGAAGACGACGACCCTGGTATAGTAGATGAAGACGATACTTGTTTCGGAGAAATACCAATGGGTAGATATGGAACGGGGAAGCTAACCGGACCCCAGTGTATTTGGGAGACGTACTATGATCAAAGAAATAAGGTGTAGACTCATCGAAAGTGACATCTACACTTATAAAATAGCGTTGCAGAGAAGGATTGTAGCAAATTAGCAATATTGCAGTAATACCCTTTCTGTGTTTGGGAATAACCAAGGAAAATACATCTCATAGAGGGAGATCAAGTTTGTTATAACCATGACCAAAGGAATGAACATAACAAATACTCAAAAACCTTGAGAGGTAACGAAGATGGTGTAGATGAGGAAAACAAAATAGAGAAGGTAGATGCACCGTATAAAATGGAGGATGGCATGCGATTAATGAGATAACGTGTAGTAAGGACAACGTTACTCCAAAAACGTTTAGGAACATGCATATGACAAAGAAGAGCACGAGTGACATCTAATAAATGATGATTTTTACGTTCTGAAACTCCATTTTGCTGTGCAGTATATGGACAAGATGTTTGATGAGTATGCTTTTGGAAGATAAGCAGGGAGTAAACGACGTAGACATATATTCTTTGGTATTATCAGAAAGTAAAATTCAGATTTTTTATTATTGAACATCATGACAACGAATAGGAATGAAACGACTATTACTCCTATATAAACTATTGGGAAGATCATAGCAAAAAAGTTAAGACCTAACAAAAGAATTAAGTTTTGATCAAAGTACAAAAGATAGAAAGTAACTCAGAACGATTTTTCATTAGGAACAACCAAGTCATATGAGGATAATCATCCACAAAAGTGACGAAATATTGAAATTTATGAGAAGAAGTATTGATTGGTCCCCATACATCAAAATTGACTAACTCAAATAACTAGAAACACTAGTAGCTCGTAAAAGAAAAGACGCGGTGACAAGCTTCACATTCAAGGGAGGACACATTATGAAGACTCACAACTTGAAGTTTTAAAGTGGATAGAGAATGGTGACCAAGACGGCAATGCCATTGCATGGGTGAAACAAAGGACTGGAGAGCTAGAGGAAAGACCGGTGAAATATCCAAGTAATACAAGCCACCAACTTCATGTCCTATATCAATCATCCTCTTCGTTTTGAGATCCTGAAAAATACACACAAAGGGATAAAATGTTACAAAACACTAAAGAGATGTAATTTTGCTAATAAACAATAAACTAAAGGGAAAGTAAGGAATATGGACAGTCGACAGATTAATATTAGGACTAGGATTGGCAATGCCGGAGCCTGCAACACTAGTTTGGTAACTGTTAGCAAGAGTGACACGTGGAAGAAATAACACAATGATAATCAAGAAGAGAAGTTGACGAACTAGTCATGTGTTCAGTTGTACTGGAATTGATAATCCATGAATTGTGAGAGAATGACAATAGACATTGAGAAGGTGTAGTCCCTAATTGAGCGAACGTGGTAGTAGAAGTGGAGGTGGCCTGTTTATGAGCTAAGAATTCAGCATATTCATCACATTGTACAAAGAAGAGATCAGATCCTTGCGATGAGCTAGAGTTAGTTACTAATCCATATACTGGGTGATTGTCCTTACTAGATGAGACTTGATTAGCAGAACCAAATGATTTTCCATGTAAATCCAACAATAATCAACGGAGTGACCTATACGACCACAGTGAGTATATTTTCGAAGTTAATGATTTTCCAAACAACCACTGCCTCAAATGTCCCGTCCACCTAGCGAGCTAACACCACGTCCACTTTTGAATGAGCAACCCCAAGCAATAAAAGCATAATGATCTTCGCTAAGTGTACCATCCGAGAGAGTAGAGCATTGAATACGAGAGAATGTCTCTAGAAGATTGGGAAGTTATTTTCCACTGCTCGGACTGCTTTAAACTTTTGCGGAAGACCAATAAGAAATTTAATAACTTTCAAATCAAGAGAGAGGGGTTGATGCACATTTTTTTCTTGACACAGTCAAAAGCTTATTATAATATTCAAGACCGTAGGTGCGATGATTTACTTCACGGGTGAGGTGCTCTTCCTTTCGGGAAGGGAGGATTAGGGAAATCCTCTTGAATGCAGCTTTCTCCAGACCTCCGGGGCTCTGCTCTAGCCCTAAAAAAATTCTCTATGACAAGGGGACAATAGCAGTCCGTAGTGCACGTTGAACAGGTTGTTTAAGGAAAGGGCTAGTTCGAGGTTCTAGCTTGAGTTCTTAGCAGCTGGCACAACAAGGCTGGATGAGCCCTTCTCAAGCCCAAAATATTTTTTACACGTTCCATAGATTCGAGTTACATTCCTAGTTCCAGAGTGCATGCATTTGAGATACTCTCAAATTTGCTTAGCCGTAGACATATAGAGAGCTGAAGACCCAATGTGAGGCTCAATATTACTGATGATAAGTCTAATGATTGCGTTATCATCTTGATCCAATCGGTAGTTGAGAGTAGGATTAGCCTTCGCAGAATATCTTTCTGAGGATTTGATAGATGACTTGCCTGAAGTTAAGTGGTTAAATAAACCTTTGCCCCGCAAGAAGACTTTGACATACATAGCCCAATAAGTGAATTTCTTTCATTCAGCTTTTCAGGTGCCATAGGCCAGTCAAATTGAATGTCTGTATCGCGAATGACATGATACGAACCACACAAACTAGTACTTGGGCTGTAGAGAATATGACAAATCAATAATAATAGATAACCACACATCAGGGGAATAGCTAAGCAATAACTAGAACTAAAAATTAATCAGCCCATAAACAAACAATTAGAGCCCAATAAACAAAAACACAAACTAGGCCCAACAAAATTGCTATAGTCTAATAGCACTAATTAATCAGCCTACAATTCACAACCAATCAACTTACAATTCAAAATAAACAGCCCACATCTTCCACTTCGAATCAAGTCTAGAAAAAAATCGACAGAAACATAGTGCACTACCACTTTGCCACTCGACCACCAATCAAGAAGAAACAGACCTTAGTATCGAAGTACACTCCAACAATGCACAACGTACCAACGACCGCGACCCACTACAACCACTATGCCATCATCACGACACCATTCGTTGTCACAACATATCGTCGACAAACTCTTCGGCTGTCTTTTAATCAATCATACCACCAGTCTCGTTTGGGAAACAAAACTACCGGTCTAGATGGTGACTTTTAGTGAAGAAAAAAGGAAGGAAAGAAAAGAAAAGAAAGGGACGATTTGCTCAAGAGAAGAAGTAGAAGGAAATACCGACCTCTAAAAACATGGCTCTGATAACATGTTTTGAACGAGGATTTGGTGCAAGGACTCGAAAGAAGGTCATCTCTTCCTCTCGTCTCCTTTTATTACATAGGAAAAATAACCTGTACATATGTATGGAAACTAAATCAATCAAATAATGCTCGTCTAATATACATTTTTCCTAATTGATTTTCTTCCTTAATAGAGAGGATGTGTCCAAACCTGTTGGTCCCAGATGTTGTGTTTTTCCATGTTACGTTTTTCAGCGTTTTCTCCTGAGGGTTGAATATTCGTCAAGGTAGATATTGTTGTGTATGTGGCTTATATAGAGTGGAACACAGGTGTAGTAGATCAAATAGGCGATGCTAGAGCGGAGCATAGTGCACTGTACCACATAAATACTTGTGTTGATTTCTCTCATTCATCTCTTATTATTGTGCATAAAAAATCCAACAGAGAGGGATTCAGAGATAGCAACTGGGGATAGGTCATGAATCAATTGGTCGACACATCACTGTGAACGCCTGAATGGGGCTTTAGTTTAGCTGAAAATAGCCCTGAACAGGCCAGCTAAATAGCCCACAAATCGTATTACATATTCATCTTCTTCCGTCTCTTTCCATCCAATTGCCTCTTCCTGATCCCCCTTCTACTGTCTTTTCTTTTATCATTTTCCTTTTCGTCCCTTATTTTTCTGTCTCCTCCTTTTCCTCCCCAGTTCTCCTTTTGCAGGTAGAAGTATTGAAAAACATAATTTTCAAGAGGCTAATCAAGTAGCTTCAACTTATTACCCAAGTGTTACAGCTGGTTTCAAATGTCATAACTTGAGCAGAATGGCTTTGGCCTGTAATTACTTGTCTTCCTGTTTACATTTATGCATTTGTGTTGCTAATCTTTGTGCACTCACATATTCTAAGTGATGCTAGTGGGTTGAAAGTCAGTTTGAATGCTACTGACAAATGATATATTCTGGTAATGCTTTAATGGTCACCACTTTTCTTTTGCTTTATTACTGTAGAACATTCAGACCAGTCAAAAGCAAGAAGCAGCAAAACAATGTAATTGCACAATAGCAGATGTCGAAAATGCTTTAGCAAAGTTTACCTGGGCAAAAGAAGCTCAGAGAAAAATTGAAAAGTTAAAGGAAGAAGGCAAACCAATGCCAAAGAGCTTGGCTGAGGTATTTATCACATTGCCTGCATTTATCATTCTTCACATACTGTTAAAAGTGACCTGCTACAAGTGACAAAATATGTGCTAGTCGTGTTGAGTGAATGTTTTTGCTGGTTAGCTGAATATGGAAGTGTGTTTTTATCTGTATTGTTCTACTTTTTCCTTGCTGATGCATGGTTAGAAGGATCATATTACATGGCTTGGGCATTGTAGTTTGATGTCATTGCATGAAATATTGACCCGTGAAGGAATCATTAACTACAGGTTCAGAAGTTGATGGGATCAACCCCCATGGACGTTGCACGATCAAACTTGGCCAAGAGTGGGAAAATAAGTAGAAATGCGCCTTGTCCCTGTGGTTCCAAAAAGTTATACAAAAGGTACTCCTCTTCTTTAACAAGCATAAATGATTGTATTCAACATTTTCTATTTGTATTTATCTAAATTTGACTCGATAAGCACCTGAAATCCATTTTCTATGACCAATTTTTGGAGAACTCAGAATATGAATTTATTTTTATGTGGAATAGGGAAATATCAGTACCTAAACTGATCCTCCTAAATTTCATGAAACTGTTTTACCCTTCTCGTTTGTTTGGGACTGCAGCTTAGTGTGTCTAATCTTTCTCAGTGTCGCATATGAGCTGTAAAATTTCTTAGATTCTCTTAAGATGCCATACACATTATACTTCTTGCCTGCTTTATTGCTGTACAGTTTCTGGCTTCATTAACTAGGCAGGTCTTTTCTGCTATAAAATCTTTACTTTTGTAACAAAAATTTTGCCAATGTCGCTTTACAGGAGTGTGATACCTACAATAATGACAGAAAAATATTTTGCAGATATTCTCCAACCACGTGTTCTATCTTATCTGTAAATCTAAGCAGTATAATTATTTTTTATTTTGCCATCACTTCTGAAGGTGCTGTGGGAAGGACAAAAGCACTTGAAGGAGAAATATAAAGTATTAAACTTAGCACAAAGCTTGGAGTACCGGGCACAGTTGAAGGGAGCCTCTATCATCACATACTTTTTTAACCAGCATGGATCTTAACCTGTTCTTGTTGCGGCCAGTTACAGTTAAACTGACATTTCCCACATAAGAAATTGCGACAGAACGATTTTTAGCACAAACACGCACATCAACTTGCCTCCTTTATTTTATTTTTTATTTTTATTTTTTTGGGGGAGGGGGGGTGCACATTAAGTTGATAAAGCTACAGGTTTTGCTCTTTGTATCATTAAAAGCTGTATACTGATACTTTTAAGTTGATTATATGTTGTTGGATGATCCTTGGTCGAGTTGCAAATTGAATTATTACATCCGTAGGCAATGAAAATGATGAACATTTTGAATACTTGAGGATGTACGAGGAGATGAATTCTTGGATAGCCCATTATCAAATACACACTTGTAGCATCAATGACTAGCAACTAAAAGTCATATTAGGTCAAGCAATTGTCAAACCAGCGATCATCTTATCCTCGTATCTTATAGTTCATGTTAAATTGAGCACATAACTTTTTTCATTCCTAATGATTGCCTAAAACTCGTATCAAATACATGATTATAGCATCAACAGCTAGGAAATAAAAGCCATTTAGGTCAAGTAATTGCCAGATTGACTATCATCTTATCCTCGTGTCTTATAATTTATGTTAAGCTGAGCTTGTAACAATTTTTTCAACCCAAATAATGTGTTATCAAGGGCTTTATTTCTCTCTGGTTTCCCACAAACTCAATTTCCTTGAATTCCCTAAGATGCATTGTTTTATACTCGGGAACCACTTTATTAATCTTTATCGTTTAGTCCCTATTCGAGCCACATTTTTCGAATTTTCTTGAACTCATTTTCAACGGCATATTTCTCTTAATAAAATAAAGTTGCATGTAAATCTAAATTTTTTCCCACTTTTTAATCTCTAAAAAACTATTTTTCGCAAAATCTATTATTAGAAAATGTATATCAAACGTGAGCTTAATATCATTGGCATTTCTCTAAGCAAAATAGAATCCGATTTACTTTTATAGTGATATTGGTAATCGGTGAATTAATTAGTGCAAGGAATGGGGATTAAATTCTAAATTCAGTTAGGATTCATTTGAGATTAAAATCTAAATTCAATTAGGTATCCATTTTTTTCCACTTTCGACTTTTGATCTCAAATTAAGCGTTCAACAGACTATGCCTCCACTCCTTTTATTGCAGACTAGGAGCTGAGAGAATAACCAACCATTTGTTTTCTTCACATCTCGTGTAAATTATCCCAACTTCCAACGAATCAATTTCGATGGCACTCCTCTCGTATGAAAAATTGAATCATTCATTTTTCCATTGTGATTGCAATTTTCAAGTTTGGACCAGAAATTACGAGTTTGATTTGCAGTAGCAGTCTTCCATCTCATTCAAGAGACTTCAGCTTCCAACGGTTTTGACTCCAGCTGTTATGTAGTTAGTTAATTTGTTAGTTGGTTGATTAGTTAGATAGTTTGTCAGTTGATTAGTCATTTAGTGTATAAATAGAGCAATTTGTATACCTTCTAACCCATTGGATATTTTTCAATTTTCAATATGATTTCTTATTGAATTTATCCTTTCTTCTTTTTACTACTCCCTAGTTCTACGCTAGGAAGATGATTTCAATCTTTTCTTCTTTTTATTGCTCCCTAGTTCTATGCTAAGGAGAATTTAACAAATCGGTTCTAGGTTGTTCTCGGTTTTTAATTTGGAGGGTTTGGGAGTTGGGTTTATTTAGGATTGGACTTTGAGTTGGGTTCGGAGTTTGTACTTGGATTTGAAATTGGGTTTGTCTTGTGTCCTAGTTTGGATTGGATTTTGATGGATTTGGGTTGGGTTGGTTGTGACAGTGAAGCTTGTTTATATTTAGGTTGGGTTTCGATGGGTTTGGTTAAGGATTTTGGGCTTGGATTTAGAGGGATTTTGTTTAGGATTAGGCTTGTATTTGGAGGTTGGGCTTGGATTATGAATTGGACTTGGGTTGGGTTGGGTTTGACAGTTAAGATTGGATTATTTGGGTTGGGTTTCGATGGGTTTGGTCAAGGATTGGGCTCGTGTTTAAAGGTTAGAAATTGGATTGGGTTTGTACGGATTTTGTTTAGGATTAGGCTTGGATTTGGAGGTTAGGCTCGGGTTTTGAATTGGACTTGGGTTGGGTTTTGGCAGTTAAAGCTTGTTTAAATTTAGGTCGGGGTCCAATGGGTTTGGTTAAGGATCGTGCTTGGATTTAAGTTTGTATTGGATTTTGAGGTTAGACTTGGGTTGGGTTTAGAGATTAGGCTTGGATTGGAGGTTTGGGCTTTGATTCTGAATTGGACTTGGGTTTGGCAATTAAGCTTGTTTAAATTTACGATGGGTCTTGATGGGTATGGTTAAGGATTGGGCTTCGTTTTAAATTTGCATTGCATTTTGAGGTTAGGTTTGGGTTTGAACTTGGGTTAGGTTGGGCTCGGCAATCTAGCTTGTTTAAATTGGGTTGGTTTTGATGGGTTTGGTTAAGGATTGGGCTTGAGTTTGAAATTAGGTTGGGTATAAAGGGATTTGTTTAGGATTAGGCTTGGATTTGGATATGTGGGCTTGAATTTTTAATTGGACTTGGGTTGGGTTGTTGGAAACAAAGGAGTTTGGAACAGACAAAAAGAATAACAAAAATTACAGCAACAAGATGAAGAACCAGAAAGTTGTCAAGAACAAATTCGAAGGCTCAAACGCGAGATCGCTATCCTCAAATGATATTTGCCTCATCTCGGGATTGAATGGGATGCTTAAGGGTTTTGGCAAACGGTTTGTAGGATTATATCAAACTTTGTAAATGATTTAATATTAAAGTATAGGTGCAATCCTCCAAAACTTTAAGAACACAAAGGAAGATATTGGATATGAATGTAAATCAATAGTTTGATTCAATGTTAAATGATATGTGGATCTCAAGATGTTTTTCAATGTTTATAATGTGTTTATATTGATCATTCATCACCTATTTATATGTTTCAATCAATACACCATGAAATGGTACCAAAACATGATGAAAAGTGGCAACTTTTAATCCAAAACGGTCCCCAAGTTTCAAATTGAAAATCCAACAAACGGTTATTTTTAACACTATGTGTACGCAAAGCAAATTTGATTCTGTTTCAGCCAAAACACATCTCGTGTATGCACAAAATTAAGCTTATGTGTACGCACATGCAAAAATCAAAATTTCCATTTTTCAACTTCTTTTAATTCCATTGATTTCACAATTGAGCCTAACAATTAGCCCATTATCATTTCATTGATTTGAACAAATATTCAATATTGGTAGTTAAAGCTTGTCTAATTTAGGTTGGGTTTCGATGGGTTTGGTTAAGTATTGGGCTTGGACTCAAAGGTTAGAAATTGGATTGGGTTTATAGGGATTTTTGTTTAGGATTATGCTTGGATTGGTGGTTATTTAGGGATATAATCTCACATCGAATAAAGATGAAAATATAAACTAACTTATAAGATTTTGGGCTACCCCTTTTAATAAGGTTGGCCTTTTAAGATGGAATCTCAAGTCTTAACATGATATCAGAGTCCATTAAGCTCCAACGAGCGATTCGATCCGATTAAGACTCAATAAATGAGTATACGGATTTCAAGATTGGTCTACTCAAATGAGTCACCATCTTGTGAGGGCACGTTAAGGGATATAATCCCACATCGAATAAAGATGAAAATATAGACCAACTTATAAGGTCTTGGGGTTCCATTTTACCAAGATGGTTGGGCTTTGATTTTGAATTGGACTTGGGTTGGGTTTGGCAGTTAAAGCTTGTGTAAATTTGGTTTGGATTTCAATAGGTTTGGTTAAGGATCGTGCTTGGGTTTAAGTTTGTATTGGGTTTTGAGGTTAGGCTTGGATTGGATTGGGTTTAGAGATTAAGCTTGGATTTGGAGGTTTGGGCTTGGATTGTGAATTGGACTTGGGTAGGGTTGGATTGGGCTTATGTTTAAGTTTCTATTGGGTTTTGTAGTTAGGCTTGGGTTTAGTGGAATTTATTTAGGATTAGGCTTGGATTGTGATTTTAACAATTGGACCTGAGTTGGGTTAGGTTTGAGAGTTTAACTTGTTTAAATTTGGGTTGGTTTTAATAGTTTGAAGGATTTGGATTTTTTTGGATTTTGGACTCCAGTTTTGTTTGCATTTAGGTTAGGTTTTGATGGGTTTGGGCTTGGGCTTTCAATTGGATTTATATTTGGTCGGACTTTAGTTGGGTTTTGACGTACTTAGGTTTGAGCTTTAATTTGAATTTGGGTTTTCTGAGGGTTAGGGTTGGGTTTGAAATTGGGTTTGTGTTTAGAGGGATCTGTTTAGGATTAGACTTGGATTGGTAGGTTAGCTTGCATTATGAATTGGACTTGGTTTTGAAGGATTTGGGTTTTTGGATGTTGGGCTTCAGTTTGGTTTTACATTTAAATTGGGTTTTGATGGGTTTGGGGTTGGGCTTGGGGTTGGGCTTGGGTTTGGATTTGGGTTGGGTTTCAATGCTTTTAGGTCCAATGTTGGGTTATGTTTGAATGCTTTAGGTTTGGGCTTTCAGTTGGATTTAATTGGGTCGGAGTTTGGTTGGTTTTCATGTACTTGGATTTGAGCATTTATTTTGAATTTGGATTGTTTGGATGTTAGGCTTGCGTTTGAAATTGGGTTGGGTTTCGACGAGTCTAGTTAAGGATTGGGCTTGGGTTTAAAGGGACTTGATTTAGGATTAGGCTTGGATTGTGAATTGGACTTGGGTTGGGTTAGGTTGGGCAGTTTAGCTTGTCTAAATTTGGGTTGAGTTTAGATGGGTTTAGTTCAGAATTGGGCTTGGGTATAAGTTTTAGAAATTGGATTGGGTTTATAGGGATTTTGTTTAGGATTAGGCTTGGATTTTGATTTGGACTTGGGTTGGGTGTTGGGTTTGGCAATTAACATCATGCTTAGGTTTAAGTTTGTATTAGGTTTTGAGGTTAGGCTTGGGTTGGGTTTAGAGATTAGGCTTGATTGTGAATTGGACTTGGTTTGGGTTGGACAGGGTTTGGCAATTTAGCTTGTTTAAATTTGGGATGGGTTTGGTTAAGGATTGAGCTTTAGTTTATCTTCGTATTGGGTTTTGAGGTTAGGCTTGGGTTTGAAATTGGGTTGAGTTTAGAGGATTTTGTTTAGGATTAGGCTTGGATTTGACAAATGGAGTTGGGTTGAGTTGGGTTTAGCAGTTTAGCTTGTTCAAATTTGGGTTGGCTTTGATGGGTTTGGTTAAGGATTAGGCT